CTACATTCTGTATTTGGAACATTTCTCAAACATTGAAATGGAAGATAGTTGTAACATTGGAGCAGAATAAAGGGAGCGTAGGTACTTGATTCTGTTGTGAACCGGAAGGGAAGCTGAGAGGCGTCTTCTCCGGAAACAAATACTCCATACGCATGTGCTTTGTCTTATGATGATATTATGTGATTTCATGTACTTTTACAACCGAACTGAGACAAATAATCGAATCAAATTAAAAATGTGTACAAACAAAAATAGAAAGCAACATGAATAGATAAAAACCGCTAAAAACAAATCATTTAAAGGTGAATGTATACAATCATTTAGTGTATCACAAAGTTGTAATGGAAGGAACTGCTTAGTTTTCTATTGCTCGTAACTTTCCTCGAAACAGATCTAGTGACTTTACAAAGATATAAACAAGGGAACAAGAATACAAAGTCACCTATGTCAACAACTCAAGTCTGTCTGTTAACGAAACAAGTCTGTCTATAAAGAACACACGTCTATCTGTAAACAACTCAAGTCTGTCTGTAAACAACTCAAGTCTGTCTGTAAACAACTCAAGTCTGTCTGTAAACAACTCAAGTCTGTCTGTAAACAACTCAAGTCTGTCTGTAAACAACTCAAGTCTATCTGTAAACAACACAAGTCTGTCTGTAAACAACTCAAGTCTGGAAACAACTCAAGTCTGTCTGTAAACAACTCAAGTCTATCAGTAAACAACACAAGTCTGTCTGTAAACAACTCAATTCTGTAGACAACACACGTCTGTCTGTAAACAACTCAAGTCTGTCTGTATACAACACAAGTCTGTAAACAACTCAAGTCTATCTGTAAAGAACACAAGTCTGTCTGTAAACAATTCAAGTCTGTCTGTAAACAACTCAAGTCTGTCTGTATACAACACAAGTCTGTAAACAACTCAAGTTTATTTGTAAATAACACAAGTCTGTAAACAACTCAAGTCTGTCTCTAAACAACTCAAATCTATCTGTAGACAACTCAAGTCTATCTGTAGACAACACAAGTCTGTAAACAACTCAAGTCTATCTGTAAACAACACAAGTCTGTCTGTAAACAACTCAAGTCTGTCTGTAAACAACACAAGTCTGTAAACAACTCAAGTCTATCTGTAAACAACACAAGTCTGTCTGTAAACAACTCAGGTTTGTCTACAAATAACTTAAGTCTGTCTGTAAACAACACAAGTCTGTCAGTAAACAACTCAAGTCTGTCTGTAAACAACACATGTCTGTCTGTAAACAACTCAAGTCTATCTGTAAACAACACAAGTCTGTAAACAGCTCAAGTCTGTAAACAACTCAAGTCTGGAAAAAACTCAAGTCTATCTGTAAACAACACAAGCCTGTCTGTGAACAACTCAAGTCTGTAGACAACACAAGTCTGTCTGTAAACAACACAAGTCTGTCTGGAAACAACTCAAGTCTGTAAACAACTCAGGTCTGTAAACAACTCAAGTCTGTCTGTAAACAACTCAAGTCTGTCTGTAAACAACTTAAGTCTATCCGTAGACAACTCAAATCTGTCTGTAAACAACACAAGTCTGTCGGGAAACAACTGAAGTTTATCTGTAATCAACTCAGGTCTGTCTGCAAATTACTTAAGTCTGTCTGTAAACAACACATGTTGTCTGTAAACAACTCAAGTCTTTCTGTAATTAACACAAGTCTGTCTATAAACAACTCAAGTCTGTAAACAACTCAAGTCTGTAGACAACACAAGTCTGTCTGTAAACAACACAAGTCTGTCCGGAAACAACTCAAGTCAGTAAACAACTCAGGTCTGTAAACAACTCAAGTCTGTCTGTAAACAACTCAAGTTTATCTGTAAACAACATAGGTCTGTCTTTAAATAACTTAAGTCTGTCTGTAAACAACTCAAGTCTATCCGTAAACAACTCAAGTCTGTCTGTAAACAACGTAAGCCTGTCTGTAAACAACTGAAGTTTATCTATAAACAACTCAGGTCTGTCTGCAAATAACTTAAGTCTGTCTGTAAACAACACAAGTCTGTCGGTAAACAACTGAAGTTTATCTGTAATCAACTCAGGTCTGTCTGCAAATAACTTAAGTCTGTCTGTAAACAACACAAGTCTGTCTGTAAATAACTCAAGTCTGTCTGTAAACAACACAAGTCTGTCTGTAAACAACTCACGTTTATCTGTAAACAACACAAGTCTGTCTGTAAACAACTCAAGTCTGTAAACAACTCAAGTCTGGAAACAACTCAAGTTTATCTGTAAACAACACAAGTCTGTCTGTAAACAACTCAAGTCTGTAGACAACACAAGTCTGTCTGTAAACAACACAAGTCTGTCTGTAAACAACTTAAGTTCATATGCGAACAACTTAAATACTGTCAACAACATCAACCTTTATGATGAAAATGGAAGGCTTCATTAACAAACATCGCCTTTGCAAACTACAACAAAAATCAATACAGATTAAAGGTTTGCGACCCTGACACAATATTCACACTGTTTCCTGATGTAATCACCAATATCACACACAAGTTGTGATCTTAACTGAAGCAATGAAATAAATTAGCTAAGTAAGGAACCTATTATGATAGTGGACGTCCGTGCTGTAATGCACGCACCTGGAAATGTAATCCCGCTAACACCTAACACGAGTTCGCTGACCGTCCAAAGCAGACGAACCGGAGTACAAGAAACGAACAAATATGGAGCGGAGAAATAAACCACGTGATATTGACATTGAAAGCGAGGGTGCGGCCAGATTGTAGGAGACCAAGCAGCCTCACTATCGCCTGTCATTACATGAATTATGCTGTTATATGGATCAGGTTAAATCGTATATCTTTTTACTGTAAATTTAGTGATTTTGCCTTGGTTTTATTTTCGCTGTATTCAAAGACGAAATGAATTCATGAAAAACATCTGTAGACACCATCGGAAAACAAAAATTTAAAGAAAAATCGATTTATTTCATGACATACGTGAGAAATACTTATTTTTCTGCTTCGGGCTTATAATGTGCGCTTTAATAGTACTATTATACTGTATATAGCAAGGGTTTTCTTCCTGACCGTTTTTCACTGTAGAATTTCTCCTCGCTTCTTTCGAAAAGACAGATATCCACAGAATGCTTTCACATGTGACAGTATGATATAATTTTATCTCTGATTACAGAGTGTACTACAGGGAATGGTGGAGGTGGTTAGTCTGTGTAGCGGGACTGAAGGCCAATAAAAGGATACATAACTTGTTGTTTGCTTTTAACTTTTAATCTACTGAAACATGAGATTCTATATGTTTTTTAGAACTTATCCGACATTATTGCGTTGATAGACTTAAAGTTAAACAAAAAAATCTTGAATTTGTACCAAGAAAAATTACCTATATCATTGCATATTCACCAACCACTGGCACTGATACACATCAATTGTAAAAAGCTAGAGATGAGTGCTGGTGAAAGAGCGGGAAATCGATATTCCAATAAAAATGTAGAACAAAAATATAAAAAAATAATCACAATACATTGTTAAGACAAACATTGAACAGAACGATGTGGACAATGTTTAAAAACATCAGTTTTTTTTTCATCGAACGTCAACTTTCAGCGTTAAGAAGATTGATTAGATTTTTTTTTAATTTCAGCCATAAAATACGTTTTACATATCGATAACATGATCTGTAAAGTTGAGACAAAATCATCTAAATTACTTAACGTTATATGTCAGTATGTACTTCAGTTAATACAAATATTAGATATGGGAAATTAGATATCGTTTATTTAGTTTTTTGTCTGGTAAAAATTATGTACAAACAATCAATTAAAATGCATCACACAGCTCTTTCGTCCTTCTAGGACTCATCAGGGCTAAAAATGGCTGTGATGTTTGACCAGAAGGAGTTTCATAATTAAGTAAAAAATAAATTGTGACTCATTAATCTTGACTGTTGTGATTTCATATACTTTACTTACGATATGTGTAAGGTTAAAGTTAATATAACGTTTTGTAGAAATCCTATTTGTTGGCTACATTCTGTGACAGCCTATATTGAAATATGTGCTAGAATGCGTGATGTCCATTATAGAGCTTTGACCTACCTGCCCTACCTGTAGATCTTACAATGACCTTTGGTCCATCTTTATGATGTACTACTGTTTGATCGTAAACTGTGGCATTTTATCGATTAACATTCGATCCGACATCTAATCCAGGCAATAAATTACCCGTGTTCTATAAAAGACAAATACTTTGTCAAATGTTCTCACAAACTTTACTTTTTACACGGTGTCTTAATAGACATAGTGATGACAGGATTCAAGTGGGATGGGAAAGAGAGGAAAAGGAGAACCCGCGTGCTGAATTATAGATGAAAATCTGTTACTATATCGTGTGATGTGTTCTGTGTTGCACGCTCAGGACACAACTAGTAAGAAATCCTGACAAGTTAATGAATGAACACTATGAATAAAACGACAACTCAAGTTAAGGGTGTATGCTATGTGTCATATTCTGACCTCCCTTTTAAAAAGAGTTTTGTATTAAATAAAGAAACAAATGGAACTTGTTAAGTATAGAGTTTCTCATTTGAAAAAAAGTTAATATATATAGTAATGTAATAATGAAGAGGAAAAAGTGGTTAATTTAAACGTACTAGACAGGAACTTATGGTTTTGATTCTGTTGAACAAATATGTGTTTATCTGTGGATTGCAAAAATGTCTCTTTCGAGCCTGTGTTTTAACTGGTTATATTCTCTGGTCCTGTTTTATATTTTTTTGGTAGGAATCCACCTGTTTCGAACGCGAAAATGTATAAAGTCGCGTTTGTGATTTTCTGACGACTTGAGGCCTCAGTACGGAGGAAAACCTTTCTGCACCTCAATCTGGGCCAACAATATATTTTTTCGTAATTGATTGTTTAGCTTGCTTTTTATAATGAAATATATTTTAGTTAAGATCAATACTATGATGTTGCTCATGAATTTTTACTTTTCTGTCGTTTCAGACTTGACGTCACTAAAAAGATTAACGCAGTTTAAGCAGACTAGGACACTCTTACTCCAACTCCTACACCAAATCAACACATACTCACACGATCCACCAAAAGTCTATGTAGATACGTCGATACTGGTCAGGGGCGATAACTCTTTAGGGAAAGACAGCTCTCAATATGAAGGTGAGTACAGGGTCGTATTCATGTATCATTTGACCAGTTGCGACAGGGTTCATTAATGCTGACCTACGGATATGATACGTCTTACTGACGAGTTATAACTAAGCCTTTCGAGGCATGTATTAATACAATGTCCCTCCCGACTAATGCCTGAAACGATAAATCAAAAGTCAGCGAATTTCACAAAAATATCAGTGTATATTTTTTTTATTTACATTTTTGAATTTAAAAATGATTAAAATAATACATAGCACTGGCAATTAGCGGTGTTAAAACGAAGACATAAAATGGACAATAACAACAGCAAATCATAGCAGAAATTTCAGAAATACATATTCACTGATGTGTTACAATATTTGTTTGATTGGGCTGGTTAGTGTATTGATAAAATTGGTTCTAAAGCGGTGAGGATTACATGATCGTCTTACACGTCACTGGTAAATGACCTTGTTACATGATTTTAATGTAATTTAGCAGATCACCCTCCTGATGTTCAAATTTCAACCTGCGACATCTATTACAGAAAATGTCCAGAAATAATGTAGGTTTTCCGTGACGTCATTTGATTGTCTGTGAACGTCCCCACGTGCCACCTGTCGTACGGACTAATTAAAAGTCTTGAAACGAGGCTATTTGTCTTGTTACGAAGTATTACAATAATCGTGAAGGAAATAATCAGACTATATCTTAATTCAAATGTCAGTCTGCTTTAAAATCCTATAATCATTTCATTTACTCGTTTAAGATCCTATATATGTCTTTCAAGTACTAATCCGGACTTTTGGTCCGGTTACGTGACGTACATTATGATAGACATCAGAGTTCGCAGACGATAAAGAGACTGATTGTATCGTTATGGATAAAGCTGCATTAGTATCTATTAACATTATCACTACTAATTCCCATTTAGTTTAACCCTCGTTATTTCCAAATCGATTTGTCTGCTCTTTGATACCTCTATTCGAGTTGGTTTCGTTTTGTAACCTTCTTTTTACCGTCGCGTGATGAAAAATTAGTTACTAATAGAAAGCATGTTCGACCTGATCACTGCGGGAACAGTATGTCATGTCAGAACACGTGTACGAACACGTGGTATTTATTGTTAAATTGCGTTGACTTTTACCCGAGTAGTAACATATATTTGTCAAACATATTTTTATTTAGAATTAAAATAAATCTAAAAATAGACCGTACAGGCAGTTTCACCTCGATGCACATGGATTATACAAAAGTTAAACTAGTTTTCCTGGTCAGGAGACAAACAGAATAATATTCAAACTCACCTACCCCAAGAATTCATTGCGTTCTGTTTACTTTAAATATCCAGAGGTTCCGTAAAAAAATATTTTTTTATGGATAAACATAATGTATTTTGTATGAAAACCAGACCTAAAACTAACGTTTTCTTTCGCCATACCAATCACAGACAGCGGAATGAGACAATGATAAATTTGCATACGTCTTTTTAAAACATTACATAAGTATTCCAGGGATCGCGGGTTCGTACCCTGCCGAATGCACTGAAATCTACTTGTTCGGCGACTCTGTGAAGGGAATCGAAGAAAAGTGAGAACATACTTACATGTAGATGATTAATAAGGACTAACAATGATGTAACGTATATCAGGAATTTTCACAATTGATATTTCTGAATATAAACTGAACGATCTCTAACCGAACGTAATGGAGAACTGTCATTAGGACAAGTAGCGAAGTTTGATGATACCCTCAACAGTTCTATTGAAAAATTTAGTTTTCTCGATATCACTGTGATTCAGACACAGACATCTTAGTGTCTAACATTATGTTATCATTGATATCGGTGGTTGGTTGCAGCCCTAGCAGAGAAGCATAGTGTTTTGGCTCGGTACACAAGAAGTATTCAGTTTAATCTAATCGTGATGAATTATTTATAGATTTTACTTACTTTTATATCATTCTCATTGCTAATCCATTATTGTAATAAAACATCCTACATGATATTTTTATTTCCATTTTACCTTGTAAAGCAAAACTTCAGGATAATTGAAAATCGATACCTTCTGAGAAATCAGCCTCTGTTTCGTCATTTCAGGTCGAGGCAATGTCGGACTGGTCTCAGAGAAACGTGACATGGGAATTATGCCTCCGTGGCGGGAACTTTGTCGTCTGGCGGGCCTGAGAAACTGCCGAGGATACAGTAGATAAAACCCAATAAATAGATCAATGTGCCTTCATACTTATCGTCCTTTACTGTCTTTATCCACCAGATGGCGCTCACTGGGCGACATCTCTTGGAGATACGTTGTGTTTATTTTGCCCGGAAAAGATATCAAACCCGTGCCTATTTGAATCAATCAATGAAAAAATGTCAACAGAATCTTAATTCAAACTCACCTTGATCAAACTAAAAATATAAGCAAATGAAAAGTTTACACGAAAACTCAAAGGCAAAATAAGACAAGATGACACCTGTCATTGAAATCAAGTAAAGTTACGTCACAATCCCAAGTGAGAACACGATAATCAACAATGAAATCGCTAGGTACACTAACTGGCACCACATACACTCAACTTTATACCGCAAAATATTCCCTAGTGAAATCATTATAACGACCATCAGACTTCACCCAAATCTCCCTCGTTGTGCATGTAGCGTCAAATGAGACGTGTTAAGACCCCAGGCTGGGAAGACATGTTGGTTGCTATCCAGAAATGGAAAATTCACTATAGGGAAATCGGTATAATCACGCTTATCAAAAACGTGGTTGAAAACTCTCCCCATGTCCTCGTTGTTGGAAAATATCGAGGCAAGTGACCTTTGAAGAGGAGTCTGCTTTTCCTCGATGCAGTTGTGGTGGATAAATATCAGAAGATGAATGACAAACACAACACTAACATCCATATTCCCTCAATACAAACAGCACCGAAGTAGTTTCACACACACATACACACCTCTGTAACGAAATGTTAGATCTAATTACTGGCTTGTAAGAAGCAATGTGCCCTTCACGGATATTCAATCAATTCCTGGAAAAGTGAAGCACGTGTTTCCGGTAAAGTACTGGAAGTCCATCGTAGCCAAGTCCTTGAATTATTGTGATCTCAATAACCGGATATCCGGCTTATGCTGTGGTTCTTCTCGGATGTCCTCACACCAGTAGAGCTCGGATTTTAAAACCATGACAAATATGAAATGGACAACGCTTACGTAAACAATGAAATTATGATTTTCTTTTGTACATTTATAAATCTGCATGTAATTTGATAAGATCAAACGAACATCTCCCAATATCCGTGTAGGTAAATACTTTATAATTTCTTTTTATACGAAATATAAAAATGTGTTAAACGTGTGTCACAGTGATAAGTTGACCGACCTTTGAACCTTGTACAACAACAGCATCTTTGGAAAATTAAAATAACACAGGAAATAATAGTACGAGTATTTTTGTTATATCTGTGATACGTGGTTAAATATTTCTATAGTGAACTTCCGTGTAGTTTCTTCTAGACCGTTCGCTATCTGGTCATACAGGCGTTCAATAAAGATATTCTATAATGCCTGCAAAGAATTTAACCATGTCAATCCCCTCCTACATTTTTTTCTAGATAATTCATAACACACACCCTTGTTCCACAAAATAGAATTTAGAAAGTCAATTATTTAAACGGTGTCTTTTAATTTCTTAATGTACTCATAGTCCGTATAATTGCAAGTAGCCATTTGTAAAATCCAATTTGACGTTACAGAATCTTAGCCGGTGACTGAGATACCCCGATCTCGCTCAGTTGCAAGTAATATATTTTTCTCGCACCTATTACTCTGAAAATTATTCAGTATTTCACCAGAGTTTGACGTATCCCGTGGGAGCCTTAAACTACCCACACAGCCTCTTCACTTTTACACTACGTTTGGATAGTGCCGCATAAACAATGCAGGCCGCACATACAAAAAATAACAACACATTTCACAGTGAAGATCTTTATTTCATTTTAAACATGATTAATTAAACCGAATATCGTTGAAATCTTAACAACATAACCTACGTTTATGTTGAAATGTACGGGTGTAGGTGCCACCTACGCCTACACGCGGATGAATATATCCATGCATAAAAAATCCGCGAAAACGCACGTAAGGGTACAAGACAGATCGGACTATTTCATGGGATATCCCTGTGTGGGGTGTGAGAAAATGGCAGTCTAGTACTGTCATAATGGAATGTCGGCGAGCAATTACAATTTATTTAAATACAATGATAATAAAAACACTTAAGCATTTTAAGAAACATATCTTTTATTCTATATTGAGCCAAAACATGAAAAGCTGAGTGCATTCCAAATTAACTGCGAAGCGGTTGAAACCGAAATTACATTTTTTTGTGTTAAGGATCGCTAACATTAAAGATAATTGACGTAAATCCCTACTTAAAATTATTTAAAACTCTTCAAATACCTTCACACGGAGACAGTCGATGTCACGTGCCTTTGGGGTACACACCAGTACAGTAAATGTACCACGTCCGATAGACTAGTACCGGGCACCTTTTCGTACATACCCTAGTATTGACCCCACCGATATATATATATATATCTAAAATACCTATCCCAATACTGGTCCAGTATTCGTCAATAGAAAAGTGTAGTCAAATCTAGCTAGAAATTACATTCAAGCCATGATACACATTAACACATTATCGCAATTTGTTGGCTTGATTACGTGATACACTTAGTGTCTCGCGCTATTTAATCTCTTAACAGCTAGAAGTGATGAACTCCAAATCCAACAGCAATCAGCGACAGATAAGTATACTTAACGTGACAATACGGAGAATCATGTGTACAGAAATGAGACGACCGGGTGTACATTAAAACTCCGAATGTGGGGGTTTTGTTTTCTCATTCCTTTTTCTTCATCTAAATTTAAATTACATGTATATATAGAATTCCTCAAACACAATAAAAACATTTCTTTGTGGAACTGGTTTGTTCATTGAATGACAGTCACGTGTCGGAAGCATATCTACTTCAAATTATTTACGTCAAATTAAGTAAAAATTCCTTTTTATTATTAAAAAAAAATAAATCTGTGTACCATTTACACTTGAAACGTGCCATTGACGTTAAAAGTTCTGGCGACTTTGTCTCAAGCTCGTGACCGACGTCATGTTCCAGTATTTAATTACCTTGGCCATCGGAAAACATGTTATGTAGCGATGTTTAGTTTTCTCCCAAGATGTTTGTATGTAAATAAGTTGATATGCCATGTTCAAATTCTGTTTTCTTTACTTGTAATCAATATTCATGTTGAAATTCTTCTTCTGTCTCGTCGTTTTAAAACCTGCGTTTAGATCGGGTTTCATTGTTTTATTCATCACCTCATGAGCGCAGAGGGTCATTTTGAGTTAAGACTACATGTGGTAAAAGTTTTGTCCAAAGGAAAAGGATAAACAAGTTTCCCGGGAGAGAACAAAGGATATGTTTCAACACATTTATCTATAACCAGAAGACAAAAACACCTCGGGTTTTAGGCGCCAGAAAATAAACATAGGTACATGATTGGTTGGTGATTAGTGGAACTGAATCGAAAATGATGACGTTTGTTCGGTCACCATTATAGTTAGAAAACTCTTCAACAATTCTTTTAATCGTGCACATGTTAATCTTTCTGTTGTTCACAACATTCCCTCGTTTTATCGGTCACGAGTTTAAATTATGATATGATGTTGGTAATTTAACAGTTCGTGGTAGACAAAGGCAGATACATGATATTGTATAGCTGATAAAGATGTTGGTATTTTCTTGTTTTGACAGTTCGAGGTAGACAAAGGCAGATAAATGATATTGTACGGCTAACTAGGACAAAGGGAAAAGAAATATACGACAACCTGTATTTGCTTTTAAATGACATTACTGACTAATCTAAAAATAAATTTTGATGTACAAAACGTCAACATTTACATTATTGCAGCCAACGCTGAACAGTCGATATATTCAGGACAAAGGTCATGCTATGGTTTTATTCGAAAGTCCAGTAAGTGACATGTTATGTATATCAAACAATTTTCATCTGATCTGCACAGAAGAATACAAATCACTAAAAACAAACATTACAAACAAACAGCTCTAAAAAATAATTAATTGTGAAATTTTGAATACTTAGAAACTATATGTTAAATGACGCATTTCTTGAACTTTGTAATTAAAAAATGTAACAAAAATGTGATTCTCACCAGTTTCCATTGGGTGCTATAAACAATATCCCCCTGCCCCTCCCCCTCCATGAAGAAACGAATGAAAAAAAATACTTAAACAAAACTGAAACAAACATGAAATAAAAAAATATAGTGAAGATATGAACCCCGCATATAAAGGAACCTACCAATTTGACAGTAGGGTTTCAGTAAGTTCCTGTTTTTTTATTCAGCATTCAGTTTTTCAGCTCTACAGCAAAATAGGTACAATTAGATATACAATGAGGAAGAGTCATGGCATACAGTGTTAGGATCTGTAGTAAGTACACAAGATATAGTTTATTAAAACAATACATTATTTGTTCTATTTTAAAAAGCTTCTATAAATTTACATAAATTACTTATTTTACCTTTGGAAAAGTAATGGACGAAAACCAGCTTTCTGGAAAAAGCCGAAACTGAGGGATATTATTGGACAATTTGTCAGAATTGGGACCAAAAAATGTTTGCCTTCAATTAGACAATAATTTATAATTCCATCAAGACCACGTGTCTTACCTCTCTTTAGATAATTTAGGACAGTATTTATTACATTTTCGGTTATACTGGTTTCAGGTTCCTACTATACAACGTCATCATCTTCCTCTCCATTAGCAATAACTTATCACGAGTTACCTGTGTGGCTTACAATATTATCTGGATTAGCTAAGGAGTTCAAATGTTCATACAAGTGATTTAACTCTATATTTGGGCTCTTGTTATTACGTCAAGTAATTTTTCTTATAGAATTCTCTGGTGCTATACTTTCCTAAATAATCAAGCGTGCCCCTTCAAGTATTGTCTATTGTATTTCAGTTCAGTGCTGTTATATTTCTTTTTATTGTCAAAATTTTATGAATTTTTTTTTTTTGGCATAATTAAAAAATCCTCAAACATGCATTCCGTATGTTCACAAGGGGCTTCTTAAACAAAGGTTTATGATCATCACCATACAGAAAATTACGTACCAAT